CTCAGTGAGGCAGAGGGAATGATGTTGTTAGCTCTGAATTAATTTGCTCTGTGAGTGTAAATCAGGCTCTTACTGTTATTTCGGTGAATTATTTTAAATGTAAATGCTACAGAGACAAAATAAATGTGTGGATGTGGTACTGAAAAAGCACCCTTGAAAGAGATACTCCAAATACACAAAAATGGTTCCCTTTGTCATTAATATAATGTGCTTTTAATAAACTATGGATGGTCTTGGCTTTCAAAGCTGTCTGTAATCATCATGAATTCCTGTCCCAGCCTTACCCCTAAAAGCCGTAGGCTGTAAGTCAAGTGAAAACAGATAACCAACACTTTGGGGAAGCTGCCTCTAGCACATTTTCCTTCAGTCCTGGGTCATTGTTCAGGCTTCTGACCCAGGCACATGGCTGGAGCTCCTTGCCAGTGGGGTTTATTCCAGCTGAGACATTAACCTATGTGACTTTGAGAGATATCTGTTAAGAGGCTGTGCTAGATTTGGGGCTGCAGTGCCCAGCTGCTCTGAGGAAACTATTCTAGAAATTTATTCTGTGTTTCTCCCATGAGAAGGTGGGATGGATTTGGTAGTGGTGGTAATATTTTGGGGTTTGTTCTGGGGTTTTTTTTTGGCCAACAACAACTTCTGTTCATTAATTCCTGGCACTTGGAATGTATGAAGCAGGTCCATCCTTTGAGAGAGGAGAGGAGCTCAGACATGGTGAACAGTGTCACCTGTGCTAGGTGACACTAGTCCTAACTGAACTCTGGGCTATGGTTTTCAGTCTGTGACCTTCAGTAGATGATCTAATTCCAACTTCTTTTGGTTTCCCACCAGTTAGATTAACAACACAAGGCTTCTCTCATTTTTCTCTCCCCACCGTCTTCTGTTGGTTAGTAAGATTGAGGCTGTCCCAGTGTAGCCCAACTGTTTTGTTCTCCAGTGTCAGATAGGTTTGATTGTGGCTCCCAAGAGTAAACATCCTACCATATAGGCACTGTATATATTGCAGATTATCCAAATTTACCTATAATCAGGCTGCAGCTGGAGGCTGCTAGCTGGGGTGACTGTGAGCTGTACAGCTGTGGTTTACACTGCAGCCATTGCATGGCTTGTCTCTCACTGCAGGCACAGAGTGCTCTTCTGTGTGAAACCAGAGCTGATAACATCTCCAATGCCTTTCTGATGAGATGGAGACCTCTCTAACTGTGTAGGGAGGTTCTTCTCAGGGCTGCTTGGTGTCAAGCTTTCACGTGCTTTCCTTCAGCAAGGTGGGGACACAAGCAGAGCCCAGCCAGGACCCTTCCCAATGCTGACTGCTTATGCCTGCATCCCACAGCCCTTAGGAAGGTGTAAGGATGAACCCACATGCCTTCTTCCTCTGTATCATTTTCATCAAGCTTTATTTGATAGAAAGATTTCCTTTTGGTTTTGTGACCGTGCCCGAATGTAGCCTGACTCGGTGGTGTCTGCCAGGCACTTGGATGCAGACCACCTCTGCCATTCGCTGTTTTCAGTGCCATTCATTGTATGACTTTTGCTGCTTCATATCCTCGAGATCATCTTCATGGAGTCAGGCTCTTGACATTGTATTCTCTGTGCAGATGCATAAAAAAGGGTTTGTGCAGCATTCTTTCATGAGGTACTATTGCTAGAATTGTCCATCTACTTCTGTACTTCAATGACAAGTCCTGAGCTTGGGCTTGGACTAACAACAGTATAAAGCAGAGTTTAAATACTTGCACAGAAGGTTGTAGTACTAAATGTTGGTGAAAACACCCCCTCTCTGTGTTCCTATGAGTGGGATTTGTTGCCATATTCAGTGAAATTTATCAGGACAGCCATATAATATATGAAGAAATCTGCTTAAGGTGGCTGGATGCTTGGTGGTTTTTTTTGACGGCACATTGTTCTTTGGTGTTGCCTGATTGCCAGGGATGGATCAGATCTGTGGCTTCAGAGAGGCACGGACAGGTCAGCTGACCATACCAGTGGGTTTCAGTGTGAAATAGCAATGAGCATTTGGGGAGGACAGGAATGAGCCATCCAAGTCAGCTACTCTGCAGCTTAATAGTTGCCTGTCTGACTAGTTCTGTGCTGTTGAAGAAGCTGATAGACTGTTTTAGCAATCTCTGCTAACTTGTCTTTAAAGGTTTTTGCTTGCTGCTTTTCTACTTGACCTAGTTTATTCTGTGCATGTTGAGTCACCACCTACATGAAAAGCCTTCATTCTCCTACTTTCTTGATGGATTTCTAGTGCATTGGGTCACCATTCCAGACTACTGTTTTATTTATTTACTTGTAATCGTGTCTCCCAGGTAAGCTGCTTCAGAGCAAGTTCTTCTTTTTCATTAGTTTTATTCTTCCCTGGAGCATTAGTCTGGGCAAATGTATAATGGTTATCGTGGGCCATTCTTCCTCAAGGACTGAGAACTTCCTTATGACTGCGAACTGTGGGTTTTTGGTGAAATATGTCTGTGAGGACTTTTCTGCCAGGAAAGCTAATCTAGAATGCAGTAGCAGGTTTTGAGACTGCAGAAAATTGATGAGCTTGGTAAGATCAGAGAAGAAAAACACATCTCTAGTAAAAGCAAACACAGCTTTCAAGGCACTTAGCAGAGGTATAGAGCATTTTAAGTAATGCAGATAAATATCTCCCCGGAGCTTTTGCTTTTTCATCTAAGCACAGATCGGAGAACAAATAGGAAAATTGGTGGGAAAACAAAAGCTTTAAGTATGTCAATGAACATTTTTGAAGCTGAAAATTACTTTTAGCAGTGAAAATAGCAGAAAATGTATAAGGCAAAAGCAATGAAGCCATGTATAAAACAAGGGAAAAGAATGAGATCAGAGGGTTGCAAAGAAAGTTTTGAATTAAGTGACTGCTAACTCCTTTCTAAAAGATTTATTTTTATTTGTTCTTGAAAAACATTTCTAATTTGGTTTTGTTGCTGTACTAATACACTGAAAAGTGTTCTTTACTATCGGGCAAATGTTTTTCAGTGTATGAGCAAAAAGTGATACATTAATGCTCTTTTAAAAAAAAAATATAGTGCAGACTGTGGTAATTCTGAATAAAATTGCAATATTGGTGGTATTCCAGCTGGTTTTGAGTCTATATTAATGACTGAGGTCTTAGCCCCAGAACTGCTTTATACTACTGGCAAAACTCAGTAGAGGATTTCTGAATAGGGATATGATGTGTCACAGCAAAGCTATGAGAATGCTTGATTTTATTTTTTTTTTTTTTTTTAGTGAAATGTCACTTAAAGTTGAATGGTTGGGTAGTTACACACTTCCACAAAAAATTCTGCTTTAATCATAAGCTCATATGCACCTCTGTGTCCTGAACTGCCATCAATATTGAGTGGAGTTCCAGGTTTAGACAACAAATATATCTTTGGTATGTTGGGTGTATTTATTGGATTCAGAGCATAAACGATCAAGTATTTAGTTCAAATTTAGCTCATTTTGATGTCAAGTTACTGCACTCAACTGATAGCTGCTACAGAGTTTACACCTCACCATGTTATTAGGAAGTAATCAAGTGATGCAGCCTTAACAAAACATTGCACGTAGTGAAAGCATTGACAAGGACAGTTTGCAGGTTTTTTTTTTTTTTTTTTTTTTTTTTTTTTTTTTTTGGTGTGTGTGTGTGTGTGTGTTACTGGAGAGCTTTGCTTTCAGGTAAAAATAAGTTAATGAACGCTTGGCACTTTCTTGGCCCATTGACACAATTAAGTTCATAAGATGCACTTGCATTACAGAGTGAAATGAGGGCTCAGGAACAGGTTTATGTGTTCCCAGACTGACTAGTTCTGTACAAGACCAAGCTGAAAGGTTTTTTCACCTGTTCTGCAAAAATTTTGAATGTGACATCACATCTAACTTGGACAGTCAAGACTGTCACCAGGAGTGCTGATAGCAATATCTGTGCTTTCACTTCATTCAGTTCTACTACTGTATGCGTGTCAAGTCTGTTAAACTAAAATTACTAGTTATATCAGCTGTTCTCTGCATCCTGTTTGTGTTAGATAATTCATGCGCAGAAATCTTTGTGAAGCCCACCTCTTTGTCATGGAAACTTGTCCTAGCAGTTGCTAATCCAGATGAATGTCCACAAGTGTTTTCCTTAATCATTGTCATTTTCCACAGATTTTGAGAACAGAAAGTTTATGCTCAATAGCCTAAACAGGTATGGGATGAATAATTGATTGGTCAACATGCCACTGAAGGGTATTTGCTAATACCTTGAGGAGAGCTTAGGAAAAGGTTCCTGCCTGTGAAACAGATGAAATGTTATTTTCTTCAGTGTAAAAAGTATCAATGCCGTATTTTTATTTCTCTCAGGTTTATGCTTATATCTTGAGACTTCAATGCTTGTTCTAGCTACAGACTGCTAACCCTCCATTATCTGTAGCTTATTTGGGGCTGTGCTCAGCAGAATGGCCCTTCTGCGGTAATAATGGGTACTTTTGTGGCAAACCACCCTTTTAGGCAACAAAAAGGGTTCTCAAGTTAAATAACTGTGTGGACAAAGAAGGTGAATGTTTTTCCCAAAGGCTGTTTCCTTGGTCTGATAGGATTTGGTAAACCATAATCACCAAGGTATGAATTGGCAGACATGATCTTGTTCCATAGTTTCCTGTCAACATGTCAGTGTCATAGTGAAATCATGTTTGCATCATCTTTGCTCTGCACCTTTTTGCAGAGCCTGTCGTCTTCTTCTCACTTGATCTTTTCTTTGCAACATGCAGCAGTTGTTGAATTTTTATAAATCATACTTTCCCATCTAGAAAAAGACACAATCATATACAGTAACAAAACACAAATGGAAAAAAATTCTCTGAAAAATGGGCACGCCCTGAAATTGCCTATAGAGTTTCCCTGTCTTTTTTTCTTTCCTTCTGTGTTAGTGTCCCTCAGCCCAGCCAAGCCCATGTAATTGATGCAGTGCTGTTGAGGATCTTGTGGTCTATACCAATTTGTTTTTCTTGTTGTTGCAGTGATAGCTGATGGGTCACTGGATAAGACAGCTCTAACAGACGATGTGGGAAGTGAGGAGGACCTGTATGAGGACTTTCGGAGCTCCAGCCACCGCTATGGCCACCCTGGGGGAGGCGGAGAGCAGCTTGCCATCAATGAGGTATTGTGCTGATTGGTTTCTGACAGGCAGGATAAGGAAGGATGCTGGTTCTTGTTGTGAAACATAAGAGAAGTCAACAATCAAATTGATAATGCCAAAGTGCGTGCGACCTCAAATGTCATTTACTGTGGGTACCACTTAGAACTGGGTAATAACAGGGTCTGGGCCTTCCATCAGGGTTCTGTCCCTAACAATAGAGGACAACAATGTAAGATAATGCAGAGCCACAGGCCCTGAGCTCTCCTCTTAGATGTTTTTTGGATGGGAAGTTTAAAACTATTCTCAAGCAGCCTGGTCCAGTCTGGTGTGAGACTCAAAACGTGGTCCACTGAAAGCATAAAGGAAATGTTGAAAAAAAATGATGGTCTACATACCAACGTATTGGTAGGTGAGAAGGGTGCAAAGTTTAATGTAGGTTTGGTTTTCACTGATTCTTCCTGTTCCGCAGTAAACTCACTCCAGGGATGTGGAAGACATGCCTTTCTAGGCAGTGCTGTTAGCCATTTTCTTTTATAGTGCTGACGCTGATTAACTTGAGATCAGCAATTCTAAAACGTACTACTTACTTTAACTGATGTGATGAGCAACCTATTAATAGGATTTAAGAGGTTTTTTCTGAAAAAATATAATGGTTTTGTCTAATGCATTAGAACTGGCATCCTGTTGCGCAGAGAATGCTTTTCTTGTGGGATGAGTTCTCTTGCATGCTTACACCTTCCTCCTCCCTTCCCTATACTCAGTTACCTTTACATGACCTTCACAAGATGAGAAGGCAAGGATAAATGATGTGTTATGCTTTCTTGAGGCTAAGCTATAAATGAAACTATGTTGACTGAGGCTCTGTGCTTGTATGTTTGATATGGACAGTGATGGTGCTTCTGGGCTCTGCAAAAGCTCCAGAAAGTAGCACAGTGAGGGAAACAGCAAAAACAACAGTAGCAAATGGTTTTCTAGCAGTTTTCGTGTTCCTAATATTTAGAATACCTGACTACACCCTGGGTGCCTCGGGAAAGCAAGAGACATGCTCTATTTTCTTCAACTATTGCTTTCATCTGGGGGTTATCAAAGCATGGCCAGAGCTTTTTTATTTAACCTCAGCTGTTTTGGGCTGTTGTCACTGGCAAGAAAACATTAGTAGAACACCAGAAATCTTGGGTTTTATTCTCCCACATATATCTGGTGTGTTTGTGAGAGAGTCCCAGGTACCACAGGACTCAGTCCCATAGTGTGCACTGAGAGCACAGTGGGAGGATTCTGCGTCCCTCCTGTTCAGGTTCTTGCCTTGGTAAGCTTTCTTAATGTGTCTCATCAGACAGAACATCCGCTGGGTTTTTGTTTCTTTTTTTAAAGGAAAAGGAAAAAAAAAAATATATATATATTTAAAAAGGAAATCTTTACAACTCTTTAAAATCAAGAAAAAAATTAACTTGGCAGTGGGTCCATCATACATGTTGTGGTTTTCTCTTTCATCACTATTATTGAGAACAATTTTTTTTCTTTATTTTCTTAAAAATTCATTTTATTAGAGTAAAATTCTATCATTTAACTTCTAATCAGAAAAGCAAATGAAAGTGTCCAAAGCAGGTGTAATTCATATAGTCTTTGAAGTATGTGGGGTTTTGTTGGGCAGTTGACTGGAAGAAAAACGATTATTTTTGGCTTGTTCCTTAGAAGCTTGCCTGTTCAGGGGCCAACAAAACTGTAAGAACAGGCAGTACATTATTTGCTTTGTCAACTGGTTCCTGTGGGTAATTAATCCATCACTTAGCTTCTCTGAGCCTTAGAAAAGTGCTTTCTTACACAATCACTTCCTGGAACAAAAAAACTGCAATAAAATACAAAATGTCTGAGGTGAAATACTAAATCTGTTAGGTACAGATTTTACATGAACAGACATCTTAAGTGTTGGAATTGAAATATCTCAAATAGCTGGCAATTGGACAGGCTTATTTTCACCTTCCCTCCTGCACCAGAAGTGGGATATTGATTAGTCTTGAGTATTTTCCGTAGTATCGCTCGGACTGATGTAGGGTGAAGGTATCGATGTCCAATCATTTAGTAACATTTTGTGAGTAGTCTTGTCTTTGTTTTATTATATTCCAAATTGCGTTTTGTTGGTCATGGATAAGGAAACTATGGCAACAGCATTATTCTTAGCCACCTTGGAAGAAGCAGCTTTCAAATAAAGAGAAGGTTGAAATAGATTTTTAAGGCATTTGGCAGACCAAGTGCTGCATTAAAAAACAAAACACCCAACCACTGAGTTTTAGTTCATTTTGGATCAAGAGAAAATGGTTATGAAATAAAAAAGAAACCTTTCATAAAACTAGAATAATTTATTGGCAAGAAGACTTGAGGGATAGAAGAAATCTGGGAAGATTGTATAGAGCCCACCTAAGAAGATCAGTATGAGAGTGTGTAAGAGCCAAGAAAAATCAATCAAAAAGTAATAATAGGGGTTTGAGATGAGAAAAGAGGCACGGAAAGTCATTTTCTTGGGGCATGTGTTTGACATTCCTTCAAATGCTTTCTTGATGCTTGTGAAAAAGATATTTTTGTATTTAGTTTGTACCTAGTGGAGTTTACTTTCTGTTTGTTCCAGATAAAGACTCGATCCTTGCGTCTTTTTGCTTCCACAGTGTAATTAGCTAACATGTGGCAAGAGAAAAATCTATACCGCAATTGCATTGTGGTTCTGTCCTTCCAGTGCAGAAATGTTACATATAGGACAGACATAGCTTCAAGCTTTGTGAAATGTGTTACATGTAGACTGAAGTGGAGAACAAAGGGGATTAAGCATATAAAAAGCCTGCCTGCCCAGCTCTTGAGGAGTGATCATGGTGATAACGGGGAAGACTATACTGCTTATCAAGTAATTGGCCTCGGCAAGTAGGCTTAGGCCTGTTTGCCTAGAAATATCTGATGTGTACAAAGGGATAGTCCTGTCCTGCTCTGCGAAGGGTCCCTATGGCTCTGTGCTTCAGAAGAAATGCTATTTGCTATTGCAGTTCAACATGTGGAGTGTTTAGCCCCTTCCAGCCCTAGATGAACAGTACTGTCCCTGTCTTGTGAAAGCAAGATATACTACATGTTTGGAAAATAACAGCAAGACTCCTTGTGTTTTCCTTATCTCTTACGGCTTTGTGTTTGATAAGTTTGGAATTTGGTATGTGGTTCTTAAGGAAATGCACAACTCATCGGCTTCAGCAGACTGGGATTTTATCTAAGACATGTAACACCATTGCCTTATGTCTTGAAGTGACAATATTGTAGTATGTTACAGATGTTTGTGCTAACCAGTGCTTGTTGGCAAGATGCAATTAAGCTAATTGGTTCCAACATATGTGTTTCTGACTTAACAAAGTAATTCATACAGAAAAATGTTCAGGAAGTGGCACAAACAATACATCTGCCACATACCAAAGGCGGCAGATACTCTAGCTGTCCTCTCTCTGTCTTACTGAGCAGCGTACCACTGGGGCTGTTGAGTCTCTAAAGCATTTTTCTTGTTACTAAGCTCTTTGATCACTCACTGAGAAGTTGTCTGGGCTCACTCAGTGCTTCTCCAAGCACAGCCAATTTTAAACAAGACAGACATGTAAACTGTTTTTTTTAAAACCAAACAAACAAAAACTGAAAACAAATCCCCAAACTCATAAAATGTTAATGCAGATGAAATCAGAACAACATATTTTAATTTTGTTAAATGTGAATAATATCCTTCATAGCATTTTTCGCATTATCTATCTACATTCCAATTAATAGAATTCTCTTGTGTACTGTATGAGGACAAATTTCAAAAGACAGAAAAAATTTAAAATAGTGCTGCAAAACTTCATCATCCTCTTTTTGAAAAAGAATACAGAATAGGTGGAAAAAGCTATGGTAACAACAGATTTCCAGACTGAAAACAAAATTTAGAATTATTGATTATATGGAAACAATATATAACATTCCTGTGTAATCTGGGAGAGGAGATTTATTGCCACTTTTATGTCTTAACGTGAGTATATTGCTCTCACAACTGATACTAAAGCAAATAGAAACCAGTTAACAAATATCTCCCCCACCCCACCCCCCTCCCCTCCATGCCCATCCCCCTTTTTTCCAGAGGGCTTAATTGATGCTTTTGTGTCTTTCCTATTTCTGCAGCTAAGGTTGACAACTGTGGTCCAGAAGCAGCAATTACGATTTATTTGCAGAGTACTGTATAAAGCTCAGTGCTGTCGAGGACAAGAAATAATGTTCCCCGATGGACATAAATCTTTACTGGATCCGAGTTTTTGGTCCCAAGTGCTGGTGTAACTGTGTAGGGCTCAGATGTGAACGTTCACAGTACAGAGTCAGAATTGTAACTTTCACAGCCTGATGGATTTAGTTTTTACAGTTGGGATCTGCAAACTTCTCAGGTCGCTACAGAGAGCTTTTTTGCAATGGATTTAAAACAAATCAGTATATTCAAATATTCTATAGCAATTATGTCTCATCAAACATCAGGACTGGGACTTAAGTATCCCAGGGGCTGCCACAGCCATATTTCTGCTTTCTACCATGAGCAGCTGTGGCTGCTCTGAGCCACTTTTTTGTGTCCTTGTCAGCATTAGGACTTGGTCATTGCCTGTGCAAGGGACCCTCCCCCAGCAGATGAAGATGAAGAGGAGGTGATGGAAACCAGTGTAGCTCACTCAGCGCTGTGGATTATCTTCATCTGGGGAAAGACTGTCTTGCAAATGGGGTTTTTTAGAAGGGTGGGAGAAATGGGATAAGCTTTCATGTTTGCAGTCATGAAGTGAGCTCCTGGCCATCCAAATGCTTGTTCCCACACATACATGTGAGGTGTGGGTAGGTAGCTCCCATACCGTGTATGCTGTGGTCTGTAGCGTACGCGCCACCGGCAGGAGTTCAATCCATACAGAATCATTTCTATAAAATATATAATTCTTTGCTAGACCAATGCTTTCTCTAAATGGCCCTATTAATATGATACTCATTAGGAACAC